CGAGACGCCGAAACACACTTCTCCCGAGCAAACAAGTGTGTTTCGGGTCCTCGCCGCTGCAAAAGCTGCGCGCTGACGTCCAGGTTCGCAGAGAAATGGCGCTTTCATGCTCTCTTCTACCTGATACTCGCACTCCAAATCTGCGACCGGGCACTCTATGGTTCCGTCGTGGAACTGCCAGGCTTTCTGAGTGTAGAGGAGGCTATGCTCGTGCACTTGAAGCGTGCGTGCGCAATCAAAGCACGGCGGAAAGCACAGATCGCGTGCTGGAGGTAGGGCGTTCGAAAGATCCGCCCTGCTTTTCTCACTCTGCCAGTGACTATAAGTACCCTTACGTTGTTGTCCCCACGTAGCAGGCCGTGTTAGCAGAAAATCTTTCTTGCGGCTATTTTACTCGCCGATTAAGACTTAAGCGAAGTTTGGCAAAACGCTCCAGGGGAAGCTCCGTAGTCAAGCGGGTTGGAGTCACGCGAATGCTTGGAAGGCCCGTGATTGGGGGGGAAGCAGATGGCATGTAACCTTGGCTCCCGATCGGAAGAAAGAGAAAAGTGAAGGGTGTGGAAATGCAGAAAGAAACCTTTCCCCTGTCAAACTCGAATCTCCGGAGAGTAATTTATGGCCTACCATTGGCGAGCGTAATAGAATGGCTGGCCGAGTGGGTTCAAAAGCGATAAAAAATACGAACGCCGGTCGTGGGATAAAAAATCTTCACAACCCGAAATAACTCCTCGAGATAGCCTTTTTTCAATAACTTAGAAAACTTTTAAGTCTTTCGGGCTTTGTTTCCTTTTCTTTTTTTACGACCAGTATATATATTTGTATTGAGTTTCTCAGCGCTATCTTATCTTTATAACGTTAGAGTTCTTGGATATCGTGCCGACAGGTAAGAGCGCCCGTAAATCCACTTCAACTGAAACGTTAGCCCCCCTCCCCCTTTCTCCCCCCCCCCCCTCCCCATGAAATCGCCGAAATATGCCGCGGTAGACATATATCGGAAAATACTCAATCCAACCCCGCGCCCCAGTGGTAGACTTTGCATTTGCCTCGATATTGGGATATTTATTTTCTCATTTTGTATCTCTGCGTAACCTAAGAAAGCTTCCGAATCGAAGACTACAGCAACGACTTCAGTACCCGAAAGACGTCAATAAAAAACGAAATGCCCATTCCCTCGCCGTGTTTTGCACACGAAGAGCGGTGACAGACCAGGCGCTTACACATTGTTGCACACAGACCACAAGCGGTCACATTGCGCACTAACCATGACGTCAAGCGAAGTCACATTGTCACGTGACCTTATGGCCTCGCGTGGCTTAATGGTATCACATGCCGTAACATCGTAGTGTCACGTGACTTTCTGAAGTCACGTGAGAGCATGACGTCTGTGAAATTGGGACGTACAGCCATGTTTCAAACGAAGCATATCCCGGGATCCGCCGTGATACCTTGCCACTAGCGGTTGTAGTCGTAAAACAAATAAAATATACATATATATAAATGAGAACAACAACAAGTAAAGGAAAACAATGTAAAACACAAACACAATGCCCCTCCTTAAGCCCGAAGGTTGAATTAGCATTATTTTAATAATGCAAAATCAGTGTTTTCAAACAAGTCCGCTTTGCCCACAGCAGGTGTGGGCACTGCGCATTCGCAAGAAACTAAATTCGAAATGAGTGAAGCGTCTGCGCATGCGCAATACCGACATTAGCGCCACCGCAATGGCGTTATTAAAAAAAAAAAAAAAAGAACTGAAGGCACTGCGGTATCCTTATACGTAGCCGCTGTGTAATTTCAACAGGGGCATTTCGTCACGTTTTTTTATTACACGATGGTTTCCGCGCACGTAGTTCATCTGTCAAATTTCATGCACACATTTGCGTGTTTCACTCATCTGGATAAAAAAATGCTGACCTCTTACTTAAGGCAAGATGGCTTGTTTTTGTGAATTTTCTTAAACACAAAAGTGCCCGTACAACCTTTGGTGGGAGGTCGAGAGAGTGTTGATGCTTTTATTTTATCTTACAAAGAACCACCTGGAAGGCTCTAGGCATAAAATGTTATTCTCCATATTTTTTGGTCTATTGTAAACGCAAAATGTGTGAGCGCAGACCAGGATTGTGGTTTTATAAAAGATATCGAGTTGGATAATTGCGAAAAGGGTGAAGTCGCTAATATTTACCATGAATGTTTTAATACCCGTGCCACACGGGCAACTCCAATGCCATTTCAAACTCTCAAAGTCAAACTCTTTAATTCTCTTCGTTTGGAGAGGGAGACAGAGAAAAAAGCAACTCAATTGTTGCTTGACGAGCATCTGCCTCCCCACAGCAGCGAAAGAGGACAGCATGCACATACACATGTTTTATTCACCATCACACTTATAGCGCAAAAATAAACAACATTAGATGGGGGGGGGGGGGGGGGGGGGAAGGGGGAAAAATAATCGATTTAGCCAAGTTTACGAATTCCATGGGCACTCTCTCCCAAACACGGAACGTACATTTTTTATGGTTTCATTCAAAACTTCTACAATCAACTCACTCAGGCGATTTAAAAAAACGAGGTACTATATATTTCAATGTCTGATTTCCGTAGTTCGTTCTGGAGTGCGGCACTAACCCTGCTTCTGCAGACCTAGTTTCATAGGTAACCTCCCTCATTCTAAGGTTCGAAATAGATATAAATATATTTTCTTTTTGGCAAAAATATTTTTTCAATGGAAGAAAAAGTTTATAACAATACTGATTAGAAAGCTGTACTATATTCAATTTAATAAATAATGAACTAATATGACTATTGTACTCAGTATTACATATAATACGAACCGCTTTTTTTTTTGAAGAGCATGCAGCAGTTTTATGCTTGTAGTGGTCGTATCCCCCGATACCAAGAAGCAATAATTATATTTTCAGTAGAAGAGGGAATTATATATATCAGAACCATAACCAAAATCGGGATGATGTGGCGATATTTGTACATAATACCTACAACTCTTGATAATTTTTGACATGTCTGTTGTACAGTTTCGTTCCATGACATGTATTGATTAAATATAATTCCGAGAACTTTTACGCTTTCAACTATATCTATACAGTGTGTTCCAAGAGAAAGAATGGACGTATAAAAACAGTTTGTATTTCGTGATCTAAATAATACGGCTTTTGTCTTACTGCCATTTATTTTTAATGAATTTGAGTTTGTCCAGGCATTTAAATTTTCCAAAAAAATATTTGCGGCACTTATAATCTGATCAGTACCATCACCTGAAAAGAATATACTGGTATCATCAGCGTAAATAATGAGACTCACATTTTGAACAATATTTACGATGTCATTTATGTATAGATTAAAATGAAGTGGTCCCGAAATTCTCCCTTGGGTACGCGGGCAATATGTTTCCTAAGATCCGATTGTTTTTTATTAATTTCAACACACTGGCACCGATAACTAAAACTTCTAATCATATCTAAAGCAACGCCACGAATGCCATAGATATGCAGCTTTAGAAGTAACGTGTCATGATTAATGCGGTTGGCCGCCTTTGAAAAATCTATGAATACTCCGAGTGTTAATAACTTTTTTTCATTATTGTTTAAAATTATTTCCTTTTGTTTTAACAAAGCAAGTTCAGTAGAGAAACCCCTCCTATGTTCGTATTGACAGGGCGTTAAAATAGAAAACTTTTCGCAACGAATGACATCCGCGTGATCGACAAATCGGCTCGCTATCTGTCGCGCGTGGAATGCGCTATGCTTGGAGTGTCGCGCGCTGATTGGCCGATCTTTCAAATGTAATTGGTTGTAAATGGAATTCGAGTTGCCTGTGTGGGACGGGTATAAGTCGTCGTTACTTAATAGACAAAGCCTAAAGGTCAAAGCTGTCTTATTCATTTTTAGTCATAAAAGCTGACAACCAATTACGCTCATTTCATGCACCGGTTAGTAACATTCGTTGATTAATTTTCGAAGCTGCAGGCCAGCGCGTTGGTACCGCGAAGCCAAGCGCCGGGTCGACCGTCGTTTTTCCGCGTGCTGGCTTAGCTACTGTGACGTCGTGGAGGAGGCGCGAAGGCCTGCAAAATGTGTTGTATTAACTCGCTTAGTTTCGGTGTGAAGCATTGGACAAGGTTGGCATTTCTCGTCCCGTAGCGTCATCTACGAATTTCTTAATCAATAGATTTTTGCCACGGCTAGGATATATCAAAGTGGAGCGTCGATTCTCCAACTACAATTTTTTTCAAAAGTAAAAATGGATGAAGATTATTAATAATTGTTTGTTAATTGGTTGACTAATGAACCAATTTCGCCTCCTTTTTTTAATGTAGTTTCTATAGCCTCCAACCTAACCCCAGGGCTAAAAGAAGCCTGACGCAAGTTCCCTTTCTTTTCAATTCTGGATCCACTAAAAGAGAAACAGCCTGCATACACACAAACGTAAAAGAAAGACCTTGTGGTCTAAAAACCGAAAGTTATAAATTTATTCCCAAGAGCCTTCCACCACCGCGATCGCGATTGCGATTAGCCGTTAAAGATCCTCAGCGACTCACCGAAGGCTATAGTGTGTAACAAAGAGGCGTTTTCGTAACACGGCTCATCAAAGACACGCCAAAGCCCCCACCCTTAGCAAAAAAAAACAAAAAAAAAAAAACACATAGACAAAAACAAAACAAAAACAGTTCGCCGATTGGTTATTAGAGCGCTCCCATTGGTTCAGTCATCTCCCACGTGACCTCTTCCTCCTCTCCCGCACTTGAGGGAAGCAAACGCGGCGTCCGCGCGCTCGACAAAAACGTGTCGAACACGTCGGGACGCGGCTCGCTTCCGAATTCCTTCCGTTCGTGGCTCCGCTCAATTTCTTTTTTTCTATCCCATATTGTGTGAACGACGCATATAGGTGCGGTGACCTAACATCATTCCAGTAAAATACACGTTTTGAATTTGCGCGGGTGACACCGTTTTGTGTAACCTGAAAATTAAAAAGAAAGGTTTTGCGTGTACATGGTGCGCGTTGAAAGAGTTGCGGCGGCGGTGTCGGAGATGGTCGGTGCCGCCGAGGAGACGACGGACTCGGGACCGGGCGTCGCGCCTGACGCCGGAGTGCTGTCGGAGTTTCTGTGGGACATCGGTGCCAGCACGGTTTCCTACCAGCTCACGGAGGAACAGTGCGCCGGACTGCAGCAGGACGCTGAGAGAGAATACGGTAAGAAACTTGCTTACAGCTGAGGTACAGTGCGCGATACTGTTACCACGAACAATTCTACAAACATGTCAGTTTTATTGTTTTTTTATGATCAATGTTGCAGTCTTTTTGTTGCTGTTTTTTATGAGCAATGTGACAGGACCATGATACGAGAAGGAAACACGCTTCTAAATGTGTATGCGGACTGTTTATTGTATGGTGTATTTGCAGTATGATTGCGGCTTTAACATAAAAATACAAGCGTCGAATATATTGGCCTGGTGTAACGTGTTTCCTCGACGTACAGACCTGAGAGGGAACATTTAGTCTTTTTCAATGATACCCTGTTTGAGCTAAATTCGGGGAGGGGGCCAAAGTCGTGCTGGCACTAAATGTTGTGCGAGGTGTAAACTTTTGTTTGGCGGAAGTGGACACCTGGAATGCCTCGCGGGATTTTTCTGCGTGGAGTCGCGTCGATCCTCAGCTACTACAAATGCATTTACGGTTTTATTTGTGCTAAAAAGACACGCGTTAAATTTAGGGTTCAGAGGAGCTTTTTGAAGTCAAGTAGCGTCGAAACAAAGAACGCTGCTAAAGTTTGTATTTTGTATTTTAAATTTGAGGTTTGATAGTACACACGCGCTCAATTTTTGCTGGTCTGGTTGTAAACAATATAAAATATTAAGTTAAAACAACATCCTCGTGGTTTTGTCTTTTTTTTTTTTTTTTTACAAAACAGCATTTTCGTCTGTTTTTGCCGGAAGAACTGTATCGAAAATACAGTCCGGGTTTTTCGCAAAGTTCAGCAAATTTAGCATTTTAATGCAATAAGTTAGGGTAATTGTATCTGTGTAGAAGATAAGTTTTTTTTTTTATAAAAACGCGCACGATTCGTCTATAAAACAATCGTTTTTTTATTTGACAATCAAATATTTTAAGAACTCATTCGCGTGGCCCATGAACTATGGACAAAGCTTGTCTCTCTCTTAAGATGACAACGACTGCGGCGTTTGCTACACTTCAACAAATATGCATGCCGCGAAAAGTCAGATACGTTAACTTAGTCAAGATCAACATTACGTACAGTAAGTTTCCTTAAAAAAGGACGCCCACCTCAGTGTTGTTTCTAAAGTTAGAACACAGCCTTTTTTTTAGTTTGAATAATCTTTTTTAACGAAACGTCAATTTGCCGTTTGTCTTTGAACATTTAGGAGTTGGTTTTCTCTTGATCTGACATTTTCCGCAAAAACGTCCGCTCGCCGTTCATTAAAATTACACTAACTTGATCCTACTAACAAGGAACAGGAAACACTAAATGTGTTTCAAGTGAATTAACTAAGCTCTGACGTCATACGCCGTCATGAAGTCACGTGATGTCATAGAGTCACGTCACCTCATGACGCCGCGTTACATCATAATGTCATGACGACGGGACGTACGTCATCATGATGTCGTTACATGTCTAGATGTGACGTCGTGTCACTATAACATTATGACGTTACGGTGACGTCACGGTTCTTCATGACGGTCTTTTATGACGATTGCTCGTGGTGGTCCTTACTGAAGGTCTTGTAGAATTCGTCTGACAAAACACGTTCTGCGTTGAAAGATTGTAAAGGCAGCTTCTCCTCAGATCGGGTGTATATGCAGAGAAGCCAGCTTGCCGTTGGTTTAACACTTGAGGAGCAAAGTATTCTCACTGCAATAATACTTAAAAAACAAGCGAGCTGGTGATGATTCATGGTAATAAAACCCGAGACTCAGGAACACAGAAGGGGACGAACACAACACAACACAACACACGTTGTGTTGTGTTCGTCCCCTTCTGTGTTCCTGAGTCTCGGGTTTTATTACCATTATTCTCACTGACCCTGTTAGGAAAAGCAGTCTCGCCGTTTCGAGTCATATACAGCTTCGTTGTAAAGCAGCAACTTCGATTGCTCGTTTCACTTGTCGCGATTCGTCAGGCACCAGGCCGGACCAAAAATCGCAAACGCCCCCACAAAGTGTGCTGCAATTGACAGCGGTTGCTGTTGCGTTGCGGACAGATATGCTTTAGAGAATTTGCGTTTAGTCGACGTGCTTTGGGAGTTTCGCTTTAGGGGCTTCGCTTTTAGTAGAATAATCGTAGGAGAAGGAGTGTGCTTCAGTAGAAGTGTGGTTTTGCGGAATGCTTTTACGAGATGTGCCTCTTCCTCGCTAACATCGGGGTCTTTGCCTTTGGCTCAAATGCACCGAGTCTCGTGTGTGGTAGTCTGGCTCCTCTACCCTTCGTTGTTCCAGCCCCGCTGCGTCCATCCGTAATGTGTTGCATTCATATGAAAGTTTAGAATCTCCTCTTTCCCAGGAGCGCATAACTTCTCAATATAGTTTCTAGTGAGGGCGATGTAGTTCGGCTACCTGTGTACCACCTTCCGCATGCCGCCGTAGATGATTGAGGGCGGCTGTTGACGAAACCAACGCCGCGCTAGAGGAGCTGCAGCTTCAAGGTGTTTTGCCTCATTCACCTTAGGGCCCGGACCTCGCGCCATCCGAGTTTTGGCCCGTTTCCAGGATAAAAGATAATCTGAAGGGTACGCGGATAACTCTGCAAGATATGCAAGGACGACATGGTTATCTGTGGTGGCAGGCGCGTAGTCAGGGGGGTATTCAGGTGTGAGGACACCCTCTGAAATTCCACTTTATTATATATATATATATATATATTACACAGGGTGTTTTACGAAAGGTAGACAAATTCGATATTGCGAAAACTACGCGTCGCAAAAAAGGAAGGCTTGTGTCATTTTGGTCCTCGGCCCGGGGCCTATTTAGGAAAATTATTAAAGTCCGGGATAATTAATTTGTTAATTATTTCTGCTTAAATAACTTTTTTAACATTGTGTTTAGGGCATGGTTTCAATTAGAAAAATGCTCAGCATCATGAAAAAAAAAACACTAAATCAACAAATTACAGAACGATAAGTGAAATGCTTCACGCGAAGCATTTTACAGCTTTCTAAAAAAACAGCACAAATTCGACGGGTTTTTAAGTTTCGGTTTGCTATCGGAGCGTATCTCAGCCATGAAGGCACCGCACCCCGTGGAGAAATAGTGCAACCAACCTCTGCTGCGCTGTCATCGCGCAACACACCAGAGGCTGGTTGCACCATTTCTCCACAGGGCGCGGTGCCGTCGGGGCCGAGATGCGCTTCGATAGCAGACCGAAACTTAAAAACCCATCGAATTTGCGCTGTTTTTCAGAAAGCCGTAAAATGCTTCCAACCATTCATGCGAATGTAATATCTTTCAATTCCATCACAGAATAAAAACTGTTACAGCCTGGGAAGCTATTCTTATTGGTCAACCCTCGTGCATCTTAAAACTTAAGAGAACGTTCCCTAACAAAGGCACACTCAGATAACAGGAGCGGAAGCTACTAGACCGCGCGCACCTTTGAGAAAGGTCTATTGAGGACAAACATACCGCTCCTTTGACCAAAGATTATCAAGTTCAATGATACCTTGACTTTTTCAGGAATTAGACTCATAAATAAACCGTTTCAAATGTTTGAGTCATCAACCGCCATTTTTTTGGGGTACTCACTCTGATGTAAATGTGGAATTGTAATTGCCTTTTTTGTTGTAATTCTAATTGTAACAGTAAGTGTAATTGTAATCATAATTAATATGTTTAGGACATATAATTTCTCAGGAAGACTGCTTCTACTTTCGGCGTGAACTCGACTCATATTGTATCGAGAACGAACGCTTCGTCTTCGTTTGGCGAAGACTCTGAACCACTCACACGCTTTGTGTTCATGGATGGATGGATAGATGGATCGATGTTAATGGCTGTACCTTTTGTAACATGCGGTAGCTTGCGCCGCCTAGCTTAAGTATAAAAAGACAAATAAGAAACGGTTACCGCCATTGTTGCTAGATGGGGCTTTGAAGAGCGTCCACTGTCAAACAATAACCACATATCGGCCCAAAACATCTTCAACGTGGGTTTCCTGAGGTACACAGGAAATCCTCATACGGCTTTGATCATTCTGGATGTGTGCAGACACTCAGCTTAGAGCCTCAATAACGCCCTTGACTGTCATGAAGGCTAATCGAAGGCAGACGTCTGCCACAAGCGCTGGCTCCCCGGAGACGGGTGTCTGCTTCAGCTGCGACTTCAATATAGGCGCCGTTTGGCCCCAGCTTTCGTCAACAACCCACACGGGCAGCCTAAGCAAAAAAGGCGCAAAAGTCAACAAATCAATAACAAAGACCAACACACGCAGATACTGGACGTTTTGGCAGGGCGGCAGCTGACTTCCTGACGCAGCTAGATCCACGAAACATCTTTCTTCCCAGGTGCGCACCTTGTGGTAGTGATTATGCGGGTTCACATTAAGCGACGGGGTTGACTGTATCTCTCTAAACATGCCATGGTCGAGCCAATGTAGGCGCGCAAAAACAACGTGCGAGGGAGCGCTAATAAATGTCACATTTTCGTTATGTGTGAATGCAGTATTCACTAAGAATAACATTGTCATATATAACGATCCGAATTTTCAAATATATGGATATGAATTACGAAACAGCAAAGTAAGATGTTGATCAATCTAAAGAAAGTATAAACTCGGTTTCAACGAAACGTTTGCACATGAGCTAATGCATTCCTTGATTATATTTGTCATTGGTTTTAACATCGTCATGTTTCTTATTGGCTTATTATGTCTAAAAAACTCGATGTTATAACTCCTGAATTCCGTCAGATTGACTCACCAGAACTGCAACTCTGCACACGTCAGCCAGATTTATAATTTATTCACAATGTTCGTACTCCAGCGCCGAAAATGTTAGCAGACTGATTATCGCAAACTCGTGTTTTATTTTATTTTTCTTCCGGCGCCTGTACCGACTTAGCTAAAAGGGGTTTGTAAAAGCTTCAAAAATAAATCCTCTCATATTTTTTTTATATGTTCCTTCCTGTGATAGCCTACCCCGAATACATTGCGTTGCATCAAGCATCTCAGATATTATTCAATC